CAATCGCACTGTCTCTGACACTCCCATCCCAATTATCCCAGTCACTGAATCAATCCACCTCATAGAGGGCCTTCCCCTCCTGCGCTGTCCCTCCACCCTGTCCTTCTCCAAGGACCAGTCTCTCCTTTCAACATGTCCAAAGTATGTTAGATGAAGCCTCAGAATCCTTGCCTCTAAGGAGTAGCCTGGTTAACCCTTTTCAGGATGAATCTGTTTGTTTTCTTGGCAGTCCATGGTATTCTCAATACTCTTCTCCAGCACCACAGTTCAAAGGCATCAATTCTTCTTCTACCCTCCTTGGTCATTGTCCAACTCTCTGATGTATAACATGTAATTGCAAAGACCATGGCCTGTATCAGACGCAACTTAGTCTCCAGAGAAACACCGTTGCTCTTCAGTACTTTGGAGATAATAAATAACCAAAATAACCAGCAATAAAAGGGACATAATACACATCCACAAAATGTAATATAGCAAATTTGTAAAAGAAAGAAATTCTTTATGTATCAGTATTAGGATGATTTTCAAAGTATATTAAGGGAGAGCAAAGAACAAAATTAAAGTACACAAAAAGTATTTAACTTAGAATGCTACCCTATGAAATATTTTGATCAACTGAAATTTTTAGTAGCTTTTTCTTTATCTGATGCATATAAAATATTATATAAAATTTAATGGTTTTTTAAAAAAATCCAAAGACAGTATGATGACATGTTATAATCTGACAAAGCTTATTTATTGTTGTGAACACAGTTACTAGCTAACCCATCCAAAGGACATAATGGCTATTTAAGTTGTATGGAGAAGACCAGGCACAGAGGAGTTGCGGACCTTGTCCACACAAATCTTATTCTCTACATTTCTGAATATTTCTCAATTTTTAATATAATTTTAGAAGAACCAGAAATAGAAAATGCCATGAATGTGAAAAAAATCCAAAAAACAAAATACTTCATTAGTCAAACTGATGTATGTAAATACAACATAAATACAATTTAATAGTTTATATTAATAATTTTTAAAACATAGTGTCACCTAGTACTCCTTGTCAAAGATGCTTATATTTTATATATTTTAAGGATTCCAATTCTATCAGCAAAACAGACAGACAATAAACAGCAAAAATAATCTCAGACATTTAAAAATAAATCCTGATATACCTGCACTAGCTTTTCTGTAGTTGTACTCAACTCCTTTAATGGCAAAATTTCACTGGAATCTGTTTGAGTAGCATGATCTGTGCTATAAAAGCCAATCTTTAAATCATCTGAAATGTTAAGTCTATGGGGGAAAAAAAGAGAGACAATAAAGCCTTATTCAGCATGTAGTTTCTTAAATTATTTATTAGAGCATATAGTTCTGTATAAATCCTGTTTCACTTAAAATACATGAAGGCACTAGGAAAATGAGGATTCTTAAACCATCAGCTTGAACTTTGAGTTTTCTACCAAGACTCTGAAGGACTGTTAGATTGGCTGGATACTGTTTCACTTGGGTACACTAGAAATAATATTTTCATAGTCAAAGATATGATCAATTTAAATATCATCTCTTATAATCCTTATTTACAAATGGGCATGTTCAAGGAGAAATATTTCATTGGTTCTCCAAGTATAGTCTATGGTGCCCTAGGGTTCCCAAACAATCTGTCAGGGAATTCACAAGGTCAAACTTAGCTCCATAAAAATATTAAGATTTTATTTATATTTCCCTTTACCATTCTATCACAGTGGACAACGTGGTTTTCTAGAGGCTACAGATTATGTGAACTGTGTCATGGTAAGCACTGGAGCAGATGGCAATATTCAACAGGGCTCCTTTAAACCAGGCAATTAAGTTAACACAAAATGTAAAACAAGTTATGTAGTATTTTATAAAATTGTTGCTTTTGAGTGCCACATACTATTACATTGGGTGAATATATCACAGTTTCTTAATCCATTTAGTTGTGGTTGGATATTTGGGCTGTTTCCACATTCTTGAGATGGTGAATAATGCTGCTACGAAAATTGGTATACAAATTTCTATTAGTGTCCCAGTTCTAATTTCCTTGTTCTATATTCCTAGTAAGCTGGGTTATATGGAGTTTCTATGTTCAACTTTCTGAGGAAACACCTAAGCACCTTCCAGAGTAGTTGTACCATTTTACATTCCCACCAATAGTGTATGAGAGTTCCCTCTCTCCACTTGAAGGAAGTAGTGGTAGCAGAGGGGGGAGGATGGGTAGAGGCAAAACCACAGTGTTGCACAATTTGGTGTGTGGAGGGATGGAGTGAAGGAAATGGGAAGGATCCAGTGAGGACCTGAAAAGAGAGGGTAAAAATGGGCACAGTCCAATGGTGATTAATTTTAGAAAACCTAATACATTTGACTGTGTCAGTCACAACAAACTGTGGCTGACTCTGAGAAGAATGGGAATCCCAGAACACTTGAACATGCTAATGTGAAACTTATACCTGGACCTAGAGGTAGTCGTTAGAACAGAGCAAGGAAACACTGCATGGTTCAAAACTGGCAAAGGTGTGCATCAGGGATGTGTCCTGTCTCCATATCTTTTCAATCTGTATGCAGAACAGATTATCTGGGGAGCTGGGATCTGTGAGGAGAAGTGTGGCATCAAGATTGGAGGTAGACTCATCAACAATCTGCATTATGCAGATAATACAACACTGCTTGCTGAAACTGAGGAGGACCTGAAGCACTTGCTGCAGAAGATCAAGGACTGAAGTCTTCAATATAGACTGTAGCTCAACATCAAGAAAATAATGATTCTCACCACTGGGCCAATTGACAGCATCATGATGGATGATGAAAAGACTGAAATTGTTGACAGCTTCAGTTTGCTTGGTTCTACAGTCAACACTCTTGGTACCAGCAGCCAGGGAATTAAAAGATAAATTGCATTGGGAAAGTCTGCTGTCAGAGACCTCCTTAAAGTACGGAAGAGCATTGGTTTCACTCTGGAGACTAAGGTGCACCTGATCCAGGCCATGGTCTTTGCAATAACTTGTTATGCATCAGGGAGATGGACAATGGCTGTTGTTGTTGTTATGTGCCATCGAGTTGCTTGTGACTCATAGTAACCCTATGTACAACAGCCCTAAACCCTGCTCTATTCTGTGCCAATCTCACTGCCTCTGACACATCCATCCCGATTACCCCAGTCACTCAATCAATCCACCTCATAGAGGGTCTTCCCCTTCTGCGCCATCCCTCCACCCTCCCAAGCATGATGTCCCTCTCCATGGACCTCTCCCTCCTTACAACATGTCCAAAGTATGTCAGATGAAGCCTCAGAATCCTTGTCTCCAAGGAGCAGCCTGGTTTAACCCTCTCCAGGCCAATGACTAGGGATGATAAAAGGAGAACTGATGCCTTTGACCTTTGGTGCTAGAGAATAGTACTGAATATACCATGGACTGCTAGGAAAACAAACAAGTTCATCATGGAGAGGGGAGGCTAGGGGGGCAAGGATTCTGAGGCTTCGTGTGACATACTTCAGACATGTTGCAAGGCGGGATCAGTCCTTGGAGAGGGACGTCATGCTTGGGAGGGTGGAGGGACAGAGCAGAAGAGGAAGACCTTCATGAGATGGATTGATTACTGTGGTAATGAGGATGGGCGTGTTAGAGACAATAAGACTGGCAGGGGATAGAGCAGTGTTATGGCTATTGTACACAGGGTTGCTATGAGTCACAGACGACTTAATGGTGCATAACAATAACAACAACAATGCATGAGAATGATTGTATGAAACACAGAGTGAAAGAAGAAAAGTGTGAAACACAATGTATATGAATATTGTAAGCAAACCAATATAAAATAATTTTAAAACATTTTAAAAAGTAAAACAATGCCTGACATCTACTTCCTGAACAGCATGCCTCTAGAACCTGTGAAGTTTGAGAAATGGTGATGGTTGTGGAAGGGCTTCAGGCCTTTTGTCCATAGATAGGGTCGCTATGAGTTCTGGTTGATTTGACAGCAATCAACAATAACAAAAACAAAACAATGTTATTCTTCTCACTGGAATCTTGAAAAACAGATATTCTCCCCTAAAAGTATTATTAATATGCAACTAGTTTACTATTGTTGGTTTCCTTTCTCGTAGTTTTTTGTTTTTTTTTTTTTAAATCTTCCCCTCCTTCTTTTGGCCGATGAGTTGTCACATACTCCTTAGCAAATTCTGACTTCCATGGCTGTCCTGCCTTTTTTTGTTTTTAAACGAATTAATACAAATGCATCCCTAATTTCTCCTTTTTAATTTCTAATATTCTATCTCTCAGTACATATTACCAATATAAATGAAAGCTATTTGAGGTCCTCAATAACTTTTTTTTACAATCAATGATTTACACATTGCAAATATGTTTTTTTAAATTTTAATAGTTTTTTAATTCTTTTTT